AGTGTCTGCTGCAGGAGGAGCGCCGCCAGTGTCTGCTGCAGGAGGAGCGCCGCCAGTGTCTGCTGCAGGAGGAGCGCCGCCAGTGTCTGCTGCAGGAGGAGCGCCGCCAGTGTCTGCTGCAGGAGGAGCGCCACCAGTGTCTGCTGCAGGAGGAGCGCCGCCAGTGTCTGCTGCAGGAGGAGCGCCGCCAGTGTCTGCTGCAGGAGGAGCGCCGCCAGTGTCTGCTGCAGGAGGAGCCCCGCCAGTGTCTGCTGCAGGAGGAGCGCCGCCAGTGTCAGCAGCAGGAGGAGCCCCGCCAGTGTCTGCTGCAGGAGGAGCCCCGCCAGTGTCAGCAGCAGGAGGAGCGCCGCCAGTGTCAGCAGCAGGAGGAGCCCCGCCAGTGTCAGCAGCAGGAGGAGCCCCGCCAGTGTCAGCAGCAGGAGGAGCGCCGCCAGTGTCTGCTGCAGGAGGAGCCCCGCCAGTGTCAGCAGCAGGAGGAGCCCCGCCAGTGTCAGCAGCAGGAGGAGCCCCGCCAGTGTCAGCAGCAGGAGGAGCCCCGCCAGTGTCTGCAGCAGGAGGAGCCCCGCCAGTGTCAGCAGCAGGAGGAGCCCCGCCAGTGTCTGCAGCAGGAGGAGCCCCGCCAGTGTCAGCAGCAGGAGGAGCCCCGCCAGTGTCAGCAGCAGGAGGAGCGCCGCCAGTGTCAGCAGCAGGAGGAGCCCCGCCAGTGTCAGCAGCAGGAGGAGCCCCGCCAGTGTCAGCAGCAGGAGGAGCCCCGCCAGTGTCAGCAGCAGGAGGAGCCCCGCCAGTGTCAGCAGCAGGAGGAGCCCCGCCAGTGTCAGCAGCAGGAGGAGCCCCGCCAGTGTCAGCAGCAGGAGGAGCCCCGCCAGTGTCTGCAGCAGGAGGAGCCCCGCCAGTGTCTGCTGCAGGAGGAGCCTCGCCAGTGTCAGCAGCAGGAGGAGCCCCGCCAGTGTCAGCAGCAGGAGGAGCCCCGCCAGTGTCTGCTGCAGGAGGAGCCCCGCCAGTGTCAGCAGCAGGAGGAGCGCCGCCAGTGTCTGCTGCAGGAGGAGCCCCGCCAGTGTCAGCAGCAGGAGGAGCCCCGCCAGTGTCTGCTGCAGGAGGAGCCCCGCCAGTGTCAGCAGCAGGAGGAGCCCCGCCAGTGTCTGCAGCAGGAGGAGCCCCGCCAGTGTCTGCTGCAGGAGGAGCCCCGCCAGTGTCAGCAGCAGGAGGAGCACCGCCAGTGTCTGCTGCAGGAGGAGCCCCGCCAGTGTCTGCTGCAGGAGGAGCCCCGCCAGTGTCTGCTGCAGGAGGAGCGCCGCCAGTGTCAGCAGCAGGAGGAGCCCCGCCAGTGTCTGCAGCAGGAGGAGCCCCGCCAGTGTCTGCTGCAGGAGGAGCCCCGCCAGTGTCTGCAGCAGGAGGAGCCCCGCCAGTGTCTGCTGCAGGAGGAGCCCCGCCAGTGTCTGCAGCAGGAGGAGCCCCGCCAGTGTCAGCAGCAGGAGGAGCCCCGCCAGTGTCTGCAGCAGGAGGAGCCCCGCCAGTGTCTGCAGCAGGAGGAGCCCCGCCAGTGTCTGCTGCAGGAGGAGCCCCGCCAGTGTCAGCAGCAGGAGGAGCCCCGCCAGTGTCTGCAGCAGGAGGAGCCCCGCCAGTGTCTGCTGCAGGAGGAGCCTCGCCAGTGTCAGCAGCAGGAGGAGCCCCGCCAGTGTCAGCAGCAGGAGGAGCCCCGCCAGTGTCTGCTGCAGGAGGAGCGCCTCCAGTGTCAGCAGCAGGAGGAGCCCCGCCAGTGTCTGCTGCAGGAGGAGCCCCGCCAGTGTCAGCAGCAGGAGGAGCGCCTCCAGTGTCTGCTGCAGGAGGAGCACCGCCGTCAGCGTGGTGGCGGGCCCCGGGGGACCAGAGATAATGTGAACATAACTTGCTGCTCCACCAAGAAAACGGAGACACACCGCCTCGTTCTCCCCAAACACGAGGCTATTTACTAATTCTTTATCTGGCTCTCCATCCCCATTCCCCGGGGCGGGTACACCCATTCCCCGGGGCGGGTACAGCCATTCCCCGGGGCGGGTACACCCATTCCCCGGGGCGGGTACAGCCATTCCCTGGGGCGGGTACACCACTATCTGCTCAGGTGCCAGAGCCCTTCTGTCTTCCAGCGACGAGAGGTGCAGTTCACTCATCCTTTCCTCGTAACTCATGCCTCTTAGTTCTGGGACTAGCCTAGTGGCATACCTCTGAACTTTTTCCAGCTTCATCTTGTGCTTGACAAGGTACGGGTGCCATGCTGGGGTCGCATACTCCAGGATTGGCCTTACATGCGTGGTATGCAAGGTTCTGAGAGATTCCTTACACAGGTTTCTGAAAGCAGTTCTGATGTTAGCCAGCCTCGCATACGCCGCCAATGTTATTCTTTTGATGTGGGCTTCGGGAGACAGGCTTGTCGTGATTTCAACTCCTAGTATGTAGTGTGTGTATATATATAATACATGATATGAGAAAGCTGGTCAGAATGATATTTCATCTTTGTAATCGCACATTAATCACACTATGTATACAAAAATATACCTCGAACACTGCTTATGTTGGACAGACGTAAATGTATGTATTTATGTAGGTTAGATTAGCATTTTAACTTAGGACTGAATAAAATGTATATATGCTATATGTATATTTAGCATTGTAAATGTCTGGCCACGTCTGCGGTAGAAAAGAATAATAAAAAAATGGTCGTCGCGAATACTGCGGCCAGGTCGCGAATACTGCGGCCAGGTCGCGAATACTGCGGCCAGGTCGCGAATACTGCGGCCAGGTCGCGAATACTGCGGCTAGGGCGCTAATACTGCGGCCAGGTCGCGAATACTGCGGCCAGGTCGCGAATACTGCGGCTAGGGCGCTAATACTGCGGCCAGGTCGCTAATACTGCGGCCAGGTCGCTAATACTGCGGCCAGGTCGCGAATACTGCGGCCAGGTCGCGAATACTGCGGCCAGGTCGCGAATACTGCGGCCAGGGCGCGAATACTGCGGCCAGGTCGCGAATACTGCGGATCAACGAGCGAGTTACAGCTAACGAAGGATTTAATTTCATACAACATAGAGTAAATATTACACACAGAAATCACAATAGCGTGATGCATCAAATGAACAAATCCTCACGGCCCTTGTGGATTTGTTCATTAGAGTAAATATTCTTCAAATTAAGAGCATTATATTACCCAAATGATGAAAATAATTCCAAATATTACTGCCGACTTTATGGCAACACGACGATGAGTTGCTCCACTCACTGTATGAGCAGTGATGAATTGTTAGGCTGCAGTGTTACAGGAGGAACAGTGATATAACGGTTACAGGAGGGGCAGTGATACAAGAATTACAGGAGGGACAGTGATGCAAGAATTACAGGAGGGAGAGTGATACAACAGTTATAGGAGGGACAGTGATACAACAGTTACAGGAGGGGCAGTGATACAACAATTACAGGAGGGGGGACAGTGATACAACAATTACAGGAGGGGCAGTGATACAACAGTTACAGGAGGGGCAGTGATACAACAGTTACAGGAGGAACAGTGATACAACAGTTACATGAGGAACAGTGATACAACAGTTACAGGAGGGGCAGTGATACAACAGTTACAGGAGGGGCAGTGATACAACAGTTACAGGAGAGGCAGTGATACAACAGTTACATGAGGAACAGTGATACAACAGTTACAGGAGGGACAGTGATACAACAGTTACAGGAGGGGCAGTGATACAACAGTTACAGGAGAGGCAGTGATACAACAGTTACAGGAGGGGCAGTGATACAACAGTTACAGGAGGGAGAGTGATACAACAGTTACAGGAGGGACAGTGATACACCAATTACAGGAGGGAGAGTGATACAACAATTACAGGAGGGGCAGTGATACAACAATTACAGGAGGGACAGTGATACAACAATTACAGGAGGGGCAGTGATACAACAGTTACAGGAGGGACAGTGATACAACAGTTACAGGAGGGGCAGTGATACAACAGTTACAGGAGGAACAGTGATACAACAGTTACATGAGGAACAGTGATACAATAGTTACAGGAGGGGCAGTGATACAACAGTTACAGGAGGGGCAGTGATACAACAGTTACAGGAGGGGCAGTGATACAACAGTTACAGGAGGAACAGTGATACAACAGTTACATGAGGAACAGTGATACAACAGTTACATGAGGAACAGTGATACAATAGTTACAGGAGGGGCAGTGATACAACAGTTACAGGAGGGGCAGTGATACAACAGTTACAGGAGGGGCAGTGATACAACAGTTACAGGAGGGAGAGTGATACAAGTTACCGATTGGCTGGCGGTGTTCCAAGGGAAACTAGTGAGGTAAGGCTTACCCATGAGCTATGGGAAGCTCTGGACCTGCTACCAGGAGTCGGAGGTCTTGTGCCCTCTTGTGTATATAATAATGCTATATAATGCGGGAAGCTCACGAGCGCAGGGCGAGACAAGTCTTGAATGAGAAAGGTTTTGTCCCTGGCTCCTGGCCAAGCCTAGTGTGGGTCTATACCGATCCCTGTGAGCGGTAGTGCAGGTCAGGGTTACGCACGGCACAAAAGGCTCTAGTCGAACCCTCAGCGCATGTGTATATCATTAATTACAATCACTCTGCATACCTTAAAATTACACCTTACACTAAATTACATTGACAGATGGTAGCAAACTTCTCAGTGTAACATCTATATATTAAAAATATATTATTACCACTGGAGGAAGGACTCTGTTAGCGATAATTTTCAACGTTGGTTTAAACAGGATATTTTTTTTTATGGTTTTAAGTCGCAAAAATCCATACGTCCAGCGTACATGTGCCTTTGTCTCTCCTGGGGGACGTGTCTATAGTTCAACTTTGGTGGGGAGATCTTAATACCAGTCTAACGTATATATATATATATATACAAGCGGCTTGTCCCCAGATAAGACGAATGAAGTAATTAAGAGCCTTAGAGCGCTTCAAATGGTGTAGTTAGGGCAGGGAGACATACCATGGTCGTGGCCGAAGGCGAGGAGTCCTGTGGCTGTGAGGCGCAGGGCCAGGTCCTCGTACCACTGAAGGTGCTCCCCGAAGCCGTGACAGATGAACACCAAGCCTCTGTAATGTACAACACTCACAGTTATACCTGCCAGTCTAACACACGACACGGGGTACACAAGGCTATGCACTAACAAGGATTTAAATCAATTGATAAAAATATTCACAAACGAAGCCACGAAAGAGGCAATCTTGTTCAAGAAAAATCTTATGCATGGAAGAAAACACATAAATGTTTCTTCTGGATGAGAGAAGCGTGTGACAAGACAACAGAAGCGAAGAAGAGATGCAGGAGAGGGAATAGAATTGGGGGAACCACAGTCCTTAACTGGGTAACATCAGAGGGGCTAGTGGGATACCCCTCTAATAGCAGGCTAGCAACCCCAAGGAGAAGTGCAACGGAAGATCAGACCTCCCACAGCAATTTTCCTCCCTCGACCACCACCCCCACCACCTATCCCACATAATCAGAGACCCTGCACATCTCAAACCCCCTCCCTCTATTCCCCGTACCATGCCCTATTGGTCCCCAATCGCAGGCCACCACTGCCCCCCCTATCTTCCAATCCCAGGACCACCCTGCCCTACCATGTAATTCTAGACAAGAATTACATATGCAGACGAGGAGTCACAATAACGTGACTGAAATGCGTTGACCAGACCACGCACTAGAAAGTGAAGGGACGACGACGTTTCGGTCCGTCCTGGACCATTCTCAAGTTGATTGTGAGAATGGTCCAGGACGGACCGAAACGTCGTCGTCTCATCTTCTAGTGTGTGGTCTGGTCATCTATCTTCAGCCACGTTATTGTGACTCATCGTCTGCATCTGAATATCATCCAATGTGTGACTGATATATCAATTGAAAAAACATAATTAATAGATAACTGGGAACACTTATATGGAAAGAATGTTTTGTATCCGCAGAATAGGGTTAATTTTTCTAGGGCTGGGGTTGCTACTTTAGCTAATTCATGGGAATCTGCGGTTGGTGAGGTTTGTCTAGAATGAAAATGTTAGATGAAAGAGGTATAGGAATGTATCTGGGGAAAGGAGGTAGTATGGTTGTGTGCTAGTAAGGGTAACATTTGTGGGGTGAATTAAACAGACACTGGCATCAACATAACACTCAACACAAATGGGAGCATTAGAAACACAAAGTATTATTTAAATGTACTTGTGTGCCCAAATACGTTAGATATTATTGCAGTAAAGAGAAAGGTGTGATGAACGTAGAAAACGGGGAACTGTTAACTGAATAAAATTAAGCGATATAAGTTATTTTTCACAGACAGATTGGAGGAGGATGGCAGTAGCAATATATGCCAGTGAAAATGTAAAATGTTGTGTCAGAGAGGAAATAAAAACTGAACTGCACAGCTATTTGGAGAGAATTATATGAGAATAATGATAGCCTAATAATAGGCGTTATAGGCCACCAAATTTCGACAGAACAGAAAGAAGACATGAATGGGAAGAAAGAACAAGACCCTCTAGGTCTAACAAATGTTATGGGTGACCTCAAGTTCTGTAAAAATAACTTTAACTAAAAAAAAAAAAAAATAGGGAATGCTGAAAAAAGTTTCTAGTATTAGTTGAACTAAATTCTTAAACAATATTATGAGCAAACACGTAAGATATTATTTTAGACTGTTAGCTAATAAGGAGACAAATAACACCGAAATAGGGTCGAGTTAGCTATGGAACAGTAATAAAAAACAAATCACATTTAACATATTTTAAAGTTATGGGGCCATATTATCATAAAACTGGTTTTGAGGGATCAGAGTGTCGAGGAGAGTAGATTGGGCTAACGTGAACATGGAAGGTTGTCCTTGACGCTTGACAAAGAGTTGCAGTGGGTGACGTGACGCTAGATTAAATAGGTACCTGGGAGTTAGAAAGCTGCTTTAGGCTGCTTCCTGGGGATGTGTGTGTGTGTGTGAAAAAGAAATCAGTTGATTGACAGTTGAGAGGCGGGCCCAAAGAGCGAGAGCTCAACCCCTGCAAGCACAACTAGGTGAGTAGAGAGGTGAGTGGTGGTGGTGATCGGTGAGGGTACACAGACCTGCCTGATAACAGGTGACACTCATCACTCGGACAAGAGATCACTCTGTTATCAACACCTTGACACGTGTCCTGATGCCTTCATAACAACACATAGGGTTTCCCGCCACACACTCTCTCAACAATGTCCACACACACACACACACACGGGAGGGAGGGATGGAGAGAGATGGAAGGCAGATGAAGAGATATGGAAGGGAGATGGAAAGATATGGAAGGGAGATGAAAAGAGATGGAGAGATATGGAACGGAGATGGAGACAGATGGAAGGAAGATGGAGAGAGATGGAAGGAAGATGGAGAGAGATGGAAATTAGATGCAACCATTGTAAGGCAAGAGGTGGCGAGGTGCATGTGGATAAAGTAAAGAATGAAAACTGTGCTAATGGCAATTCTGCGATAAGAATGAAAAATAAGTAAACAAAAAAAGAAATGAGAGTAAACGCGAAGAGTAAAGGGGAAAATAAATTTTTAAATCAGAGAACCAAAGTGTAAACAAAGAGATAAGAACATTAAAATCACTTGTGTTGTCCTGATCGATACTTACTTCCCCCTTCAGAGCGGGAGAGATTGCTGAAATAGAAGGAATACAGAGAACATATACAGTACACATAGACACGATAAAGCACCTAAATTATTGGGACCGTCTCAAAACTCACGGAACTGCAGAATACAGCCAGTTAAGCAGGGATGCCGTATAGGTACAATCAGAGAACACTGAATGAACATCAGAGGCCCATGGTGGTTCAATATCCTCGAAGTACAAGAAATATTGCAGGAACAAAAAATGGACTTCAAGAAACAAATAAGTTTCCTGCAAAAAGTGCCGAACCAACCGGGCTGTAGTGAATATGTGGGCCTGCGGGCCGCTCTAAGCAACAGCCTGTTGAACCAAGCACTCCCAAGTCAAGTCTGACCTCAGGCCAGGCTTCGGGCGTAGAACTCTCACGGCCATCTCCAAGTAAGTTCAGGGCAGAGAATGGAGAGCACAGAAGCGCAGATTGCTAAGTCAGATGCTAAGAATAAATTTAACAACAAAGCAAGGACTAAGTTTCATGTTGTGTATGAGAGTTGATTCAACAGGGCGGCCTCTGTGGAGAGTAGAGGCAGTTAAGATGGAGAGAGATTATAGAAGACCAAACTACAGGATGACTTGGGGTCCTAAACATGGCAGGAGACCAAGCTACAGGGGTAACTGGGGGTTCCAAACATGGCAGTGTTCGTGTCAGCAAGTTTAACACTTCTTTTGTACTCTTTAAGTCTGTCATTAGGAGTACGGCCCGTTTCACCAAACTGTTGGAGAGGACAAGAGGAGCAGGGAATAAAATAAACACCAGCAGCAGGAGGAGCAGCGTGAACCAGATTACAACGAAGTGTGTTGGTTTGTGGAGAGGCAAGTTTTATGTCAAGAGGACGAAGGGTATTAGTGAGAATATTAAGTTCAGATATGAGGGAAGACGAAGCACAATGTTCATAGCAGCTTTAGGATTTAAGTTATTTTAGCTTGACAGTTGTCACAGTTTATAAAACATTTAGGAGATGGCCAAGGTGAGAGAATGGCTTGTAAAGAAATGTTAGAATTTAGAAAACTGTCACAGATGGATTGGCCCGGAGGAAAAGGGAAACTAGAACCCCTTTCTACGGCAGGGAAAAATTCATGAATTGTGAAAATTCATGAAAATTTACTGTGCGTAGGCTTGCGGTAGACAGAAGCCAGACACAGTTGTGAACACGTACATCTAGGAAGGTAATGAGGGAAATGTACTACTTTTCATCTTTTAAATTGATGGAAGGAGCCAAATTGAGAGAGAGAGAGAGAGAGAGAGAGAGAGGGGGGGGGGGGAGGGAGGGAGGGGGGCTGAAAACGCCTAGCCATGGCGCCAAAGATCAAAAATATTATCAACAGTCTTCACAACTTTGTGCCTTCTTTTGATAATTACTTGCTGACCAACATAGCGAAACGTGAGAGACGAATATCAATAGTGGGAAGAGGAAGAGTTTCAAAGTATTTCATATAGAGATCGGCCAAAACAGAAGAGTGATGTCCCATAGCGACACCGAAAGTTTGAGACACATATTTACCATTGAAAGAGGAGCTAGAGTCAACAGCCTGATGTGATCGGGGAAGACATCAGTGGGAATCAGGAGAAAAAGGACCTTAATCGTCGTTTAAGGAGAGATCATTAAGGAGCCTCAGAGATAGCTCACAGTTTTCCCTCTCTCACATCTATCCTTTCATCTCGCGGGAGGTCTTTAACTCGGAAGTCAAGCTTCTCTATATACCTGCATCTTGCCTTATAATAATTTCTGAACTTATTGCCCTCAGTTTCAACTTCACATTGGGTCCGGACTGAAACTTTGTTGCTTTCATTTCCTTATACGGGTTGGACTGTTTCTTCTCGGCCACGTTTGTGTGACATTCTCTGCATACTATGGCCCCATGCATACTATGGCCCCATGCATACTATGGCACCATGCATACTATGGTACCATGCATACTATGGCACCATGCATACTATGGCATCATGCATACTATGGCACCATGAAACAAAACGTTGGTACTTGGAAGCACATCATGCACGATAACTGTGGTAATTATTCCAGGCCTAGTTGCAAGATTTCGTCCAATATTGCAGAGCTAGGAACAAAATTAATGTGGTCCAGATTCCACTACGAACAGATAGAAAGCCAGTTTTTTCACATCCGAGCATCACTGAGGTTTATCCTGCAGGATAGGTATGGTTCGGTAGAGGCACGCGCCTCTGTGTCTATCATAAAAGCTGTGTAGTTATGTTACACAGGATCTTCTTGTTCGAAAACCATACTGTCTTTTATTATATCATTACTCTCTAGGTGTTCAACCCATTTAGCTTTAACTATTGTTTCTATTGTTTTGACTACCACGCCATAATTTAGAGGTTCCTCTACTACCATTTTTATAAATTGGTACTATGTTTGCCTTTGTCCATATATTTGTTAAGATTCCTGTGCACA